CTTCACCAGGCCATCAATTGCCTCCTGTAGGCCTGGGGGTGTAACCGCTTGTCTTTCAGCATCAGTAGTACTTATAACTTGCCTATCTGCAACCTAAGCACAAGGATTGTATATGTGTTACCAAAGTAAGTGGAGGATAAAATGCCATTAAACCTTGAAAGTTTTTACCAATATTAACATTTGTATAACTTGGCATAAGTTTGGTTCATAGAAAATTACCCTTTTTGATAAAGATTTCCACAGACTGTCACAATTATCAAATAATTTATCCCCATTTTACTACCAACAGCCAGCCAATAATACATCAATTTGTGTTATTATACCTTAGACTCTGTGGTGTCAGTAAATTGCTTTTAGGATTGACTTTTCTGTTCATTGTCTTAGCCCTACTGGGGTCAGGGTCTCTAGCTACCTTAACTGTGGATACATGGTCTTGCAAATCAAGAGCTGTGAGACCAATATAAAAGGGCACTTTCCACACTGAAAAACAGCAGTGATAGGGTGAGGTCTAGTGCCACTGCTGTGAAGAGACTGTGGCAAGTTGTACCCAGAGGAATCCTAGAGATGGAACCACAGTTGCTTGCTGGATGACTGAAGGAAAAGCTGATTGGTAATGCTCCGAGATAAAGTTTCCCAGATGACTGAGAAACCAGAGGCTCCTTGCATTTGTTCTGCTTAACTGAACCTTAACTTTCACTGAGGAATTGTGCCTTGCTCATACAACTTGGGACTACTGGACTAAATAAACCTGGACTTGGCAAACCTCAACTTGCATTGTGTAATTTTTTTTTGCCTCCCTTAGTCCCCAACCTATTTCTCTAATAAACCCCACAACTGTGAGTAGAGTGTGTGGATCAATTTGCAATGAACATTGATAGTATGATACGGTGGATATTACTGATGGGGAAAGTCCTCCATGAAGAGGGTAGAAGTCAGGCTTGGCCTTGCCCAAGTTATCACTGCTCCTTACAAAGAATCTAATAGAGCCATGGAACAAATAACCAAACCCATTGCCATTAAGTTGATTTCAACTCAAGTTTGAATCTTTAAGTTTAGAACTTTTCTGTAGAGTATCTGAGAGATCCTTTCAAATAAGTATTTATTTATAAATAGCTATTCTTGAACATCTTTGTCTCTTGCCAGTTCTATCGGTAACTATGTAAAGTCAAATAAACCTGAACAGAACTAAATTATTAACCTCTCTCAAATGCCTTAAAATGTCTCTCCCATTATTGTCCACAGATTCTGCTTGTCAGCATTTAGCCTACTAATCCTCTGGAAAGCAAAAGTAGCACAGAAAGAATAGGTGCACTTGAGTTGGTAGTCTACCAGAAAATGACTTCAAAATAGAGTGTAAATAGTGAGTAGGGATATGGTGACACCTTTTAACTTTTCCATAATAAACCAGTTTTAATCCTGTATTATTAGCAATTCTGGGTTTTGGTGTTTTTGGGTTTTTTTTAAAAGAGAGAAAAGAAGTCAGGTATCAACTCTACAGCAACTGCTTATGGCAACTCCTGGATCCGTGTGATATGTATTAAAGACAGTTATATAATGATATTTAAAGTATGTTTTGGTTCATATTTACAAAACTTTTTAAAATCTCTCCCCTACCTTAACCTTGAGTTGTCTGTTTGGAATATCTGTATAGAGAGCATCCCACTGTTGTACAGTCAGTCCTTTCAGAGCCAAAATTGCTTCAATCAC